ATTGGTAAGGTTCAACCTAAGAAAATAGCTGAGAGTAGAGGCAGCAGAGGATGTCCCTTCTTGATTAAGAAAATGTGTGAAGTATGGGAAGAACAGCAAAGTTTTGTTGAAAAAAATCATCCAGATAAAGCTGTAGCAGGCCGTTGCTTTGACCTTTTAAATGACAATGTGATGTCTTACTACAGACAAGTGTTAAAATGTAGGGAAAAACAAGTGTCCTAGTGGTATGCAGGCAAAATGTGCCAGAAAGTGCACACCAGTGAAGTCCTCACTGCCTGATGTTATAATGGAAGGGGACTCCCCTTCCAAACAGTAACACCTCTCCTCTTCCCTCCTCCTCACCATCTTCCATACGCTAACAGCAGTCATCAGCAAGGGTAAGTAGTAACTTCAACATAGTTTTGTAGGTTTATTTAGATGAATTAGGTATAAAATTTAGTTTGAAGTGAGGTTTTTGGGTAGTCAGGAACGGATTAATTCATTTCCCATTATTTCTCATGGGGAAATTAGCTTCGGATTACGAGTTTTCAGAATACGAGATGTCTCCAGGAACGGATTAAACTCTTAAACCGAGGTACCACTGTAGCAGAAAAACACACCAGAACCGAAAGGCCCACGACAACCGAGGAGAAGTTAAACCCCTCCCAGGACCAGCGACCAGGACAGCACCGGAAGCGCAGAACCAGGCCGAAGGTGAAAAAACAAACCAAACAGCTAGTGAAACGGAGCAGAAGGAACAGCAAGACTGAACGCAAGCGGAAGCAAACCCACCAGCGCCGCCAGAGACGAGGCGACAGCACTCGGCACCAAAGGACAGTCCCGGAACAACCCCGAAGGGAAGGATAAGACAAGGTTAGCAGAGACCAGCGGCTAGCAGAGACCATAGTACACCTACGCAGTGACAAGAAAACCGGAAGGACTGCCAGGAGCTACCCACTGCCAACGAGACAAGGAACACAAGTGGGAGACCAACAACAAAGCCACCAGCACCCACACAAGGGACGAGAACGCGAAACAAAAAACCCTGAGACGCGAAGACTTGAGGGGGAAGAACAAACCAGCCGATACAGGGCTGGACTGACCTGCAAGAGAGGCGGAGCCACGGGAAAACCCGCAGGATCGGACACCGAGCAAAGAAGCGCCCCCAACCAAGGACGGCAAAGAACCAGGGAACAGGAAGAGGCCAACAAGAAAACGAGGACCACGAACCAAAACGTGAAGCGAAAAAAGCAACCCTGCAACCCACAGGAGCAGCGTAAGCAGCCCCAGCAGGGATGAAGGACGCACGCATCACCGAGATATATATGAGGAGAACTACCCAGGACATGACCTGCACGAAAACAAGAAAAAAAAAGTCCCGGAAAAGAACAGAAAACTGGAGCCAGGACCATAAACCTAGCACCACCCATCCCAACGAAAAGGAATCTTAGGGGCAGGAGTGAGCGAACGGAAGCAACTCCCATCCACAGGCAGGACAAGCACCTCGTATACCACATACAAAAGACCAAACCCGGAGTATGAGGCCTCAGCATGAAGGCCGTACCCCGTTTGGAAAATCGCAGAGGCAAGCCCCGAGGCCAGCCCCAGAGCAAAGAGGCATAAGATATGAGGACAGGCTGCGGGAATGCAACACACAACACAAAGAAGAAGGGAAGACAAGAACACAACTAACAAAATTCTCAGAGGAATGGAAAGGTAGAGAATGAGAAATTGGTGAACACGGGCGGTACACAAAGAAGGGGGAACACAGGTGGAAACTGAGTACCCAAGGAGTCACAGGGATAGTAGAAAGAACCCTGTCAGTGTCAGAGCAGGTAACAGATGGAAGGCAGTAGCCAGCGGTGTGGCAGAAGCAGACACCAGACACAGTGCCAAAGGGAGAGAAGAAAGAGCCCAAACGGCTCAGGAATCGGTACACAAGGTGAACGACAGCAGAGAAGAGGGATCAAGGAGCCAGAGCCCAACCCCCTCAAGCAAAACTAGGGGAGGACAACAAGGAGAAGACAAAAAATGGCAGGGAGAAGAGAGCACAAAGAAAACCAAGAAAAGATGCAGGCGCCGAAGACTAAACAAAAGGCAGCGAAGACCGAGGCTGCGTCCCACAGTACACTGACCAAGGAAGGCCACGGCAAGACTCACGCAAAGTGGCCAATCAAAACACACAACACCTACACCCCACCAAAATCGAGAACCAGCGCCGGATGACAGCGTCGCCAGACAGCACAATCTCACCTGCAGAGCGGACACACGACCGTGGCACAACAGAGTTGAGCCGAGGCAGAAACCAGGAGCATCGCCAGGGGAGTATGATCAGAGATGTGTAACCAGCAGAAGCCGAGGTGCAGGACAGAGGCGGAAGTGGCACCACCCGGAGCCACCCCACCCCCGGAATCAGGGAAAAGAATTGAGGTGAAGTTCCCACATAGAAATCCAGAACACCCCCCCTGCATCAAGGAACAATGACTGGAGAAGATGACGAATGTGAGATTCGTGAGACAGGAAAAATCATTTAAAAAAGAAAAATTGAAAAATCGACATAATAAAATCATGAGACAGGATGAGGAACACCAACACATGTATACCCTAGAACAAAACGATCACCCCGGACCCTGCGCCCGAGGTACGAACCGCACCACCTACCCTCTGGTGATGCAGTTCATACACCAGACGTATGTACACATATCGTACACACACCAGCAAGAGGATGTAACGAATAAGAGGAAAGTCGGGATAGGAAGAAGAGATGAAGGGAATACAAAAGAAGGCGAAAGAGAATCAAAAGAAAACAAGAACAGAAGAGGACCAACGAGTCCGAGAAGGGACTAGAGGGAACTACACCAGAAGTCAGCAGACGTTCCAATAATATCAGAAGAATCGAAGAGTGTCGTGAACCCTCGAGAATCTTATGGAGGCTCATAAGCAGGGATGGGGTGAAAGCACCTTCAGGAACGACAGAACTGACGAACCCGAAGGACACGGAACCAAACCCGGGGCAGGGTAGACCCGAAAACCAACAAGAATGCAAAGGGGGAAGGAATAACCACCCCCCCTCAGAGGAACTGCTAGCCCCGCTCCTACAACAAAAACCCCAAGCAGGGCCCAACGGGGCTAAGGCCCCCAGGCAACCCCAAGAACCTCCATGGCTGGATCCGGGTCTGAGCCAACCCCCACAAGCCCCGGCCTCACAAGAAAAAGCCAGATCAGCCATAAAACTTTAAGGAAGGTAGTCCACTGGTCAGATCCTTACACACGGCTGGAGGAACAGGCTCAAAGGCCTCCGCCGCCACCCCAAAAGAAGACCCCCCCCCCCTCGAGACTGCCTGAGCCTCAAACACCTATGAAACACCGCCCCAACCCAGAAACCACAGACGTGTCGGAGCCGGAAGCAAGGGGGAGAACCCAAATGCTCAACCGAAGGGGAAGGACCAGGAGGGGCGGACGGAACCAGAGCCGAAGCGATCCCCACCCCCAAGTCCGGGTCACCATCACCAAAACGGGGCAGTCTCGGGGCATCCAGGGCTGCAATCAACAAAGCGTGTTGCAGCAATCTAACCCAGCCTGCAACGTGGCCACTGCCTGAACCCACACAACAGAATGAGTGGCATGGGAAAACTGGAGTACAAACAGACAACCAACGTCACACGACTCCATGTCAAGGAACCATCGACCCAGCAGGCAGCATTGAGGAGGCAAAACCGGTGAGTGTTACCATGAGACAAGGGGACAGAGCAACCATCAAACTCACAGGATGCGACAGGGGGACTCAAGGTCACCTCCATCGGACCACAGAGCTCCCATGGGGATTTCCAGGGCCCTTAGCCTTGTGTACATGCTAAGGGAAGCCCAGGCAGGGTACAGCGAACTAGCCCCCAAGTCTACCGAGCAAACTGCTAAAAGCTGAACCCCCGGGATGTACATACTCACGGGGACCAAACGGGGAGACTCCACCAAGCGAAGAGAAGAACAGGGAGACCCTCCCACCAGGCAGAAAAGAAAAACCCCGCAAGAGGACAACGTACCCAGGCGGAACAGAGCCGGCCACTATAATTGAAGAAGACTAGCTGTGCAGTACCCTGCGCCCCTACTAGTGATGAAAACAACCACCTACCCAGAGACAAACTAGGGGACAAACCCCACCTAACCCCAAGGACGGTCCAGTACTGAGCAGTAAAAGACACAGTGGAGGTAGATCCCAAGGAGACTTGTGGAAGGAGGCCCCAAGCCCCCAAGGGTAGTACTCACAGGTCACCTAGGGAAGGAAACCCTAGGCACATGCAGCCTGAGTACTGTGGAATATCACTCCTCCGCTCATACACCTCCCCTGTAGAGACAGCCCACACCACAAGGCACAGAACTGAAACAAAAGTGGAGCCAGGAGAGGCTTGGAGAGGCACCCGACCACCCGTTTTAGAGAGGCACCCGACTGGCCAGTAAACCCATCAGCCAAGAACTGCCAGTTGGATAGCCGGCGTGAAGGGACTGGGGCTCCCCCTTCCCCCTCCCGGAGAGGGGGGGGGGGTTGTGCAGACGGTGGCGTGGCGATGTGATGACGTCATGCTAGTTTGCAATTTTTGCTGGGGAGTTCTGTCCACTCGTTCGACTTTCGGTAGCAATCTTTTCACCAGAATAGGGGTTGGTTTTGGAGCGCCTACCTTTCTGGGTGCCTGTCCTGGTTGATGGCAGACATAGAATGTTCCCAACCACAGGGGGGGTTTCTATAGGCCATTGTTCCTTCATGCCTCTCTGAGGGGGCCAGGTTCTGGCTCGTGGTCCCCGGTAGGCAAGAACTCCATGCACTTTGACTGATGCCAGAAAGTTATACATATCCATTCAGCCTGGATAGCTCCAGGGAGCAGTATGGGCTCCCCTCCAGAAATAACAAACTCTAAGTGCAACAAAATTATAGTTTGTTGCAGAATAGATCTAGTACAAATCTGTTCTATTGAAAGCATATCTACAATTATTAATATCTAATAATAAAAAACAGATTAACACTGTACCCTGCTAAGGCAATCTCTGGCATCACCAAAACTTTCCAGTTCACTCCAAGAAAACAGAAGTCCATCAGTTGTTTCACCAAATGGATTAAAATCAAGCAGGATCACATGGTCTTTTGCTGGGCGATACACATCAAAAACATCTGCGAAAGAAAATGAAAATATTGCTATATTTATAGACAAAGCTTAAGGTATGTGCCTTGTTACCGGGGAATGCTTCATAGGAATCCAAACTTTAGGTGCATTAAATTTATTGAAATACACAAGTAATTTTGTACTTTAACCCTTTAACTGCGCAATGCACCTGCAGGCCCAGGCTTCGGGTGCGCAACGCGCCTCCGGGTGTTTTTATTTTTCACGTTCCATTCAAAACTCCCGCGGCTACATGGGGTTCACATCAGCTTCCTCGGGGCTCTTGTAAACAGACGCCATCTTTAAAAAAAATCATGGTCCACATTGCCGGGTGTCAGAGCCTCAGTAGTGAGTGAGCAACCAAGGCTGGCACTCGCAGCATGAGTGCACAGCACTGCTGTTCAGCGTGTGACCACAGCATCGCCTAATATTGTCAAAAAATATATATATAATCTGTTTTATTTAGCCATGATAGTATTATAGAAGAGCCGAGTGTGATAATGACTGGGTACAATATTCAAATATCATAGATTCAATGCTGTTCACGATGTTCACAGCGCTAGCCACAGCACCACAGCATTATTTCGTCCATCTAGGAATCTTCAAACGACTTTTTAGGTTCCTCTTCAAAATAAATTTGTGGTCAATTATTCATTTACAGGTATTAGTGACCAGGATTGTGGTTATAATTAGCATTGTGCATACATAGGAGGAATTTTGGTGAGGGAGGGAGGAAGGGAAAGAATTGAGGTAGCCTCACTGCGTGGCAGTAACTCTTTGTTTTGCTCACCATACTAGCTTCATGGTTCGTTATGGGGAACACACATGTACATGGGTATATACAGTGTGTGTGAATAGTGTAATAACAGCACCAGGAGTATGTTGTGAGGAGCTATTTTGGTGAGGGAGGTGACGTCGTAATCGTGGCGTCGTCTGCTGTGTGATTTGTCATGTAGTGTATGGTGGCCACTACTGTTTGGACACAATACCGGCTTACTTGCATAGTTCTGGTAAATAAAACATGTAGATAGGTATATATAAAATGTGTAGTGTAATAAGAACAATAACAGAATGGTGGGAGGAGCAATGTTGGGGAGTAAGATGTTGGAGTGAGGGAGGGGTGGCTGGGTGTGGCTGCTCCCACTCGCGGTGTTCTGAGTGTGTTGATGGTGAATGTATATAGTGTGTGGCAGTGTAGAGTGTGTACATATGTTGTAAATATACATAAATGAACATGAAACATTCGTGTGAATAACTGTATGATTTGGAGGAGCAATGTTGGTGAGTTGGAGGAGTGAGGGAGGGTTGGCCGAGTGTGGCTGCTCACACTCGCGGTGTTCTGAGTGTGTTGATGGTGAATGTATATAGTGTGTGGCAGTGTAGAGTGTGTACATATGTTGTAAATATACATAAATGAACATGAAACATTGGTGTGAATAACTGTATGATTTGGAGGAGCAATGTTGGCGAGTTGGAGGAGTGAGGGAGGGCTGGCTGGGTGTGGCTGCTCACACTCGCGGTGTTCTGAATGTGTTGATGGTGAATGTATATAGTGTGTGACAGTGTATAGTCTGTACATAGATTGTATATATACATAAATTAGCATGATACATAGTAAATATGTGCAACATATGTGTACACAAGTGTCATGCACGTAATACAGTGTCTTCGGACAGTACGGATGTTTTACTGCCATAATATAGTGTACGTGTTCATTATACATAGGATTAGCATGTAAAAACAAATAAAATGTATTTGGAACTGCGCAAAAAATGTGCAAAAATATATTCGCAGCAACTCGCGCGTCCCGCCCCGGGTGCATACTGCTCTGGCGCACGGGGAATTATGACGTCACGGCCCACCTTTCGGACCCCATAGCAGCCAAAGTAAGTACAATTTCGAACTTGCGTTGCTATACCCATATACAGGGAGGGGTTTTTGACACTTTCCGAGGAAAAAATTATTTTTTCCCAAGGTTTCATTTCCTGCGCACTGGGGGGGATGTCATATTTATAGGCCGCGCAGTTAAAGGGTTAAGGTGAGGGCTTCAGAAATATGTTCAATGAACAGAGTTAAGGCTGGCTATACCTGTGAATGAACAGTATCCACTCGATTTAACGGCCTATATGGGGCTGTACCCAGGTCGTTAAATGCAGGGCTCTGGTATTTCCGAAATTGTTAAGTGTCGGAAATATTTCAAGTAGCATTCAGGTAAGATATATTTTGTAGAGACAGCCACTTGGTCCACCACTCTAGTGCCTTTTACCCTGTGACATCACAGATTCACGACACATTGTTTTGATTTGTCACGAGGCTGGAGTGTTCATTCTGTGACTTTGTTAGACATATCTGCACAACCAAGGAACATCATTGCACCATGTTGGCTCCAAATGCACTCATTTTGTTAGTGATGGCTGACTGGTGGGTGGATGGGCAGGCAGAGTACGCAGGTAGGCAGGGAGGGAGAGGCTGAAATGTAGGCAGGCAGGTTGGGAGGGAGGGAGGGAGGGAGGGGAGGGAGGGAGGGAGGGGAGGGAGGGAGGGAGGGAGGGGAGGGAGGGAGGGAGGTAGGCAGAGGCTGGGAGGTAGGCAGGGAGGGAGAGGATAGAGATGGATGGAGGGATGGATGGATGGATGGAAGGAGGGATGGATGGATGGAAGGAGGGATGGATGGATGGAAGGAGGGATGGATGGAGGGGGGGAGGGAGGGATGGATGGATGGATGGATGGATGGATGGATGGATGGATGGATGGATGGATGGATGGATGGATGGATAGGAGGGAGGGAGGGAGGGAGGGAGGGAGGGAGGGAGGGATGGAGAGAGAGATAGATGGAGGGATGGATGGAGGGATGGATGGAGGGATGGAGGGATGGATAGGAGGAGGGAGGGATGGAAAGAGGAATGGATAGGAGGGAGGGAGGGGAGGGAGGGAGGGAGGAAAGGAGGGAGGGAGGGAGGGAGGGAGGGAGGGAGGGAGGGAAGGAGGGAGGGAGGGAGGGATGGATGGATGGATGGATGGATGGATGGATGGATGGATGGATGGATGGATGGATGGATGGATGGATGGATGGATGGATGGATGGATGGATGGATGGATGGATGGATGGATGGATGGATGGATGGATGGAGGGAGGGAGGGAGGGAGGGAGGGAGGGAGGGAGGGAGGGATGGGTGTTGAATTGAACTACGTGACCAGTGAAGCAGAGTGTGTGTATGTGATGTAGGGATAGTGGTGGAGGGAGGGACCGGCTCACTTCGATAAGCTTAACACACTTGACCCCATTAGCCAGATTTGTTCCTTAAATTCTGGATGTACATCATCATATATATATTTTTAGTTACAGATTTTGTTTAGTAATATTATTAGGATAATAAAAAGTTATAAAAATACTTGTTTCATGAATGCTTTATTGTATTAGATGGAGATTCTCTAGGCTCTGTTGGCTGGTAATCTATTGAGCCACCTTCCAGAAGGGTCTCTTGGGAAGGGGGGAGGGGGTGAGGGAGGGAGGGAGGCTGGAAGTGAGTGTGTAGGGTAGAGCTACAGTGAGGGTGTGGGGGAGAGATACAGTGAGGGTGATAGAGGGGACAATACAGGCTGGCAGCCTGCTGGCCATGTGAGGACCCCCCCTGATGCCAAAACAAACCCAATACCGACATACGGTTCTATTGACCGCCAGACCGGTATATGAGGCTTCAGATACCGGTCTCCCAAACCGGTCGTTATTACCGGCAGATCGGTAAATAAGAGGCCGTTAAATCGAGTGGATACTGACTATACATGCAAAGGTCAAAACATACATGACAATGTTCACATGTGATGATAAACTAATGAGAGGAGTTGACACAAGAGTGCAAAAAGTTGCTCATGGACAAGATACAAGAATGGTCTGACAAGTGGTTATTGTATGCAAGTTTAATCATGACATACACTTGTAAGGTAATGATAATACGAGTAAATGAAGGCAATTGGTATTTTACCAAATGAGAAGGAAGAAAATACTTATTGAAAAGATAGAAAGTTTCCTAGAGGGAAGGAAATCACACTGAAAATACATTTCTGGAAGCCCGAATAAGCAGGAATAGCTTTAGCAGGATAAGTTTTATTTGTATTGATCACTTTAAGTAAGCTTAAGTGCTTTGTTTTTAAGCATTTTCCTTTCTTTGATAGCAAATGTAAGGTTTGCCAATGTAAGAGCAGCCTACAGAAATTTAAACAAGTAATAAATGTAGGACATCCTCAACCCTGGAGATTTATTAACCCTGGACGAGTTGATATGAAGATGTACAGGGGACATGGTCAATACATACACGATATACAGAGGTGTCAACAGATTGGTTGGGTCCAAGAGATGGTGCTCATTCCTAATACTGTAAGGAATTAGGTAAGTAAAAAAAAATACAGGCCAAGATGTGAGTTAAAATGAATAAATACTGTAATAAGAAATACTTACAGTTTTGAAGAGGAAATCTGTTTTCTATATTTTCTTTCCATAAGCTGATAATATCGCTGCGAATATTAGCCTGATCAGTGCCAATGCAATAGTAACTTTGGCTTATATCACGTTGACAAATACCTGAAAAATAATAATGAAATTAGAACATTTCAAACCCCAATTATGTACACTGTAAAAACCCAGAGTTGAACGTAATGAAACACCATTTTCTGGGTATAGCCCCGGAGGTTCCCTGGAGCTACTGGACTGATATTAGTTAATATTAGTGCAGGGCTTCCATCTTATGGAGTTGTCATGCCTACCAGGGACCACTAGCCAGAACATGGTCCCCTCAGAGAGGTGAAGGGAGCAATGGCCTATGAAACTCACATGTATGAAAGTAGTCATGTCTGCCATTGACTGGGGTTGAGCACCCAGAGAGGTAGGTCCTTGAAAACAGATCCCTCCTGATAGAAAAAGAAAAACAAGCAAACAAGTAACATATCATCACAACGCATGCCAATCCCCCAGGGAAGGGAAGAGGGGAAAGAGCGGTTCCCAGCCCTGAGCTGGCAGCCAGACCATCAGTTTGGAGGCTGAAAAACTGAAATAAAAACCGCCGGCAGGGGGAGGGAGGGTGCAAGGGAGCCTCTGGGGCTCTACCAAGAGAGACTTACCCAGGAGGTGGCTGCACTGCACAACTCATAATGAAGACGAGACAACAGGCTACAACCGCCGACCCAAGGTGACACAAGACTGCTGAGGGCCCAGCACATTAACTAGATATCGGGAAGCCAGGACCCTGTTCGATCTCCAAAACCCCAGTGCCCGAATATCCGCCCAAGACATATTGCCAGACACAGCAACCAAAGCTGTGAACTTATGAACATCATGGGCACGAGGGAAGACAGCAGGCTTGCTAGACTTGATAACCCTGCGGACGACCTGAGAGACTTTAGCCCTGGAACAGGAAACAAGAGAAACTGGGTCAACCCAAAGCGCATCCCCAGACATAGAAGCCGAGGGGCGTAGATAACGGCGTAAAGCTGTAACTGGACACAAAACATGATGCACCCCTGCCTGACCAACCAAGCATCAATAACCCATGGATCCCTCTGGAAGCCCTGTCATGACCTTATGAACCACAGCATCACTGACCAACCATAGCCTGGCCAAGTTTTCATGTGTGTCTAGGGTAAAGTGAAAAAGACTAGTTAAAACAACACCAGTTTACTACGACATATAAAACAAGTCACCATAAAACAATAAGAAACTAAAGTCTCTAACACGATACTCTAATAACAACAAGGAGGTTACACACAGCTCTCATAATCACATCAAGACACTTAAACACAGCTTTCGAAATCATTAACAGGCATTAACTACACACACTCGGGACCAGGCTCCAACCCAGCGCAGTGGTAAACTAACCCAAGTAACAGGTTGGTGGTGTCATACATTAATAAGTAGTGGATGAGGAATCAGTATCATACTACAACACAATAACAAGCATCTACAACCCTCAGATACCCATCTCAACACAAAATCACCTACCACCTGGCATAACTGATGTTCCTCAGTAGCCTGATTCACTAAAACAACAGCATTACTCCTATATATACATTAGTAATCAATAAACAACAAAATACAACACAACTCAAGAGCTGGACATCCAACGTCCGCCTACCTGGGGAACCAAGAGGGCAACTTGCCAAGGGCCGAGCCAACCAAGAATGACTTTGTTATCAACATGGCAAGTCACCTCAACTTTCCTCCTTCACATATCAAAAGTTCAAAACCCAAATATTAATTCTAATTCATACAATACCTAAGTATATACAATACGCAATATTCTCCACAGGAGAGTACATATCAAAACTCAAGGTATACAAGAATATATCATGATATATGCTAAAACACATAAAGAAGTCATTTCATCTACTCAAGGTTATACTGGCTAGAGACAGTTCACCAAGGAGGTAGGGTTAAGGGGAGGATATGGGAGGATTTCCAGCAGTTACAGGTTGACTGTTATACCTATGTTGTTTAAGACTTAAATCACATTACATTCGCTAGTCATACCTCAAGTATATATATAAATCTAGATAATATATATATATACACACTATATCATAATGCCTCTAGCATGTCCTATATAACATTCCAATATTTAGACATGTAATTTGTATGAAACATGAACTTAACACTTTCACCACTCGGTGGCGCACGAGCGCGTCACTAAGTTTTGTTCGGGTTCCGCACGGGTGACACTGGCGGGCGTCACGAGAATAAATATTTGTATAAATTCCAATTTCGATCCGATCTACTTGGGGATAGTTTAGAAATATTCGCCATGAAATTTACGTTTTCTCTAATAGCCGAAGAGCTTACTTGAGAGAACGGCATGGCAGTGAATCATTGTGGGTGGTAAAACAACTGTATTATTGACACGACGCGTATGATCGACGTAGTTTTTAAATTTGTTGCCGGTCGAACACCTCCTTATGTGACGTTTTATACTTATGTTTTTCTAGAACATTCTATTGCGAACACATTGGTACAAAAATGAAATACGTACATCAAAAAATAATGTCAGGACAGTGAATTGAATATACACTTTTCAATGCGGGTTTCGCCGACATGCCACCGCGGGTAACACTTCGGCCACTTCCCACACTCTTGTGGGTGGGTTGCATCATTGATTCTATATTTATATGCATATGTCCGTTTAGAGAATTTTATTGCGATTTCAGTGATACCAAAATTAACCCTGTAGGACAAGTGTGGAGTTGACAACCCTGAAGATAGTAGAAACATTTCGTTGCTGTCTGGCGCTCACGGCTAGTGATCGACATAGTTTTTTATTTGGTGCTGATCTAACTTATGTTTTGGTGACATTTTATACTTATGTTCTTCTAGAACATTCTATTGCGAGCACATCTTCTTGAGGTTATCTTGAGATGATTTCGGGGCTTTAGTGTCCCTGCGGCCCGGTCCTCGACCAGGCCTCCACCCCCAGGATGCAGCCCGTGACAGCTGACTAACACCCAGGTACCTATTTTACTGCTAGGTAACAGGGGCATAGGGTGAAAGAAACTCTGCCCAATGTTTCTCGCCGGCGCCTGGGATCGAACCCAGGACCACAGGATCACAAGTCCAGCGTGCTGTCCGCTCGGCCGTCCGGCTCCCACATTGGTACAAAAATTAAATACGTACATCGAAAATTAACGTCAGGACAGTCACAAGAGTATACACTTTTAAATGTTGCCGCTCAATCGCCGAAACGCTCATTTCAGTTGGGGAAAGGTTTTTTCATACGCCGTTTCACGAAAGTGTTAAGCTTCTGCTATGAACTAGCGTATTTCCAAAAACAGATTACAGATACAAGAGTACAGTAATGGTAATACAGTGGTACCTCAGCTTACGAGCGCCCCTGGTTACGAGTTTTTCGGGTTACGAGTTTTTTGAGTTACGAGCAGGATTTGCTTTGAAAATTTGTATCGGGATACGAGCGTTGCCTCAGAATACGAGGGTGTTGATACGCATACAGGCCAACCTAGCGCGTGGTGGCATGGCGATCGCCATTCAGTTTACCAGTGCCTCGCGCCCAGTGACTATCCCGCCTGAATTCTTCACAAGGATTTGCCGTTTATTTTCGGATTTTTTGCTATTTGAGCATAAAATTTGTTATAATATATATCGCAATGGGTTCCAAGAAAGCCAGTGGTAAGGTTCAAGGCAAGATATCGCATGTGAGGATGACAATAGAGGAAAAGCAAGAGATCATTCGGAAGCATGAAAGTGGTGCACGTGTTGTTGAACTTTGTAGGCAGTACAACAAATCCACATCAACGATATGCACTATACTGTACTTGTCAAGAAAATGGACATTATGAGTGCTAAAGTGGCAAAAGGAGTATCAACAATCACGAAACAAAGACCACAAATACTTGAGGAAGTGGAAAAGTTGTTATTAATTTGGATACACAACAAAGAGTTAGCGGGTGATAGTGTGTCAGAGGCCATCATTTGTGAGAAAGCACGAAGACCTTGTAAAGAAACCCCCTAGAACAAGTGCAGATACGAAAGACTTTAAGGTAAGCAGGGGATAGTTTGAGAAACTTAGAAAAAGAAGCGGTATTCATAGTGTTGCAAGGCACGGGGAGGCAGCCAGCTCAGACAAACCAGCGGCTGAAAGATTTATTGAAGAATTTAAAGAGTTTACAGAAGCTGAGGAATACCTACTGCAACAGGTGTTTAATTGTGATGAGACAGGACTGTTCTGGAAAAGATTGCTTAAGAGGACATACATTACCAACGAGGAAAAATCATTGCCCGGACACAAGCCTATGAAAGATAGGTTTACGCTTGTGCTGTGTTCAAATGCGAATGGCGATTTGAAAATTAAACCCTTGCTTGTGTATCATTCTGAAAATCCAAGGGTTTTCAAACAGTATAAAGTGCAGAAAAACCAAATGTGTGTGATGTGGAGGGCTAATAATAAGGCATGGGTGACTAGCATTTTTTTCGGAGTGGGTGAATGAAGTGTGCCGTGCCATAGAAAAATATCTGCAGGAGATACATTTGCCACTCAAGGCCCTACTTCTCCTCGACAATGCTCCTGCTCATCCTCCAGGTTTGGAAGATGAATTGTTGCACAGATACAGTAAATTTCTCACAGTAACGTTCCTTCCTCCTAACACCACTCCTCTAATTCAGCTTATGGACCAAAAAATCATAGCGAATTTCAAGAAACTTTATGAAAGGGCACTTTTCCGAAAATGTTTTGAAGTGACTGAAGCCATAAAACTCCCCCTCAAAGAGTTTTGGAAAGACCATTTTAACATTTGTAGTGCTTTAAAACTCATTGACAAAGCCTGGCAAGAAGTGACTCAAAGAACCCTGATCTCTGGCTGGAGAAAATTGTGGCCTGCATGTGTGACAGAACTAGACTTTGAGGAGGGTTTGAGCCAGTAAATGATGTGCCTATTGTTGAGGAAATTGTTACTCTGGGCTGGCAAATGGACATGGAATTGGATGGTGATGATGTGGAGGAGTTGGTGGAAGAACACAACGAAGAACTGACCACCGAAGAACTCCAAGCCCTCCAACAGGAACAGCAAGAAGACCCAGCTGAGGAT